TGTGTGTGTGTGTGTGTGTGTGTGTGTGTGTGTGTGTGTGTGTGTGTGTGTGTGTGTGTGTGTGCGCGCGCGCAAGTTGAGTGTGCATGTTTGCCTCTTGCTTTTCTGATGCAACCGTCTCCCAGGCTCCTCGCGAGCCGAGTTGTGTTTTCTTTTTTTTTTTGTTGTTTTCTCTCCTTCCCTCTTTTTTTTTCAATCTATCCTTGCCTACCCTTCCTTCCTGTCCTCACAGGAAACGAGAACCAATTGCGGCGCTGTTGCCACCGGAGCGGGGAGGGGAGGTTTGTTTTGCCTCCGCTTTTATCCTCCGGTACCTCCCCGTCCGCAGTTACCGTAGAAACAAGAGCAACCGCGACTCTATTTCCATCCGCCGCTTCCGTCTCTCGGTGATTTTGTTTTTTTTTCGACGACACGGCAACCGACCTGCCGACACGAGCGGCCAATGAGGCGTCGGAAAGGAGCGCGCGCTTTCAAGAGCGAGCGTATAAAAGCAAAGACGACGCGCACGCTGAGCAACTTTGGAGAGCGGTCGGCATGCCCGAAACACTTTTTCTGCTCACAACATTCACATGGAAAGAGCAGCATGTTTCCCCTCCCCATTTCAAGCTCCAGCAAAAGCAAAGCCAGTCATCGCATCCGACATGGCCCTTCCCCCAAAATGCCTCCTGATTGCCCCCCCACACCCCCAATTTTATTTGGAGCCGATCTTGGTTTGCCGTACAAGTGAAAATAGTCGCATTAAAATTGCTCATCCCTACTCCCAACACCTGACTTCATTTCAATAGCTTTTATAGGCACACGTTTACGAACCGGCTTTTTCGGATTTGCAACAGGTTCTGCGGCGATCGTCTGCGACGCCTAGCCCGGATCGCGCGCACCGTGGACGTTATGTTTGAAGGATGCGCTTGAGAGGAAACGTCTCGCTCAGGGGTCATGAAAGCCTCCAAACGCACTTTCACACATGACACCCTTCGTTCCCCCTGAAAACAAGTTTTTCGTCGTGCCTCGAACTATAAATTAGCCTCGGAACTGCTGCACGGGACACCCTTTGTAAGAAGCGCTGAAAGCGCGTATCTATTTGTACGCGTGCCAGGACCGGCCATTGTATTGCAGCGGTGCGGGTAGCAAGGTTGTTTAAACAAAGCTGCCTTGGCGAAGATTGAAGGGTAAATACCGTCATCATAACTTGGGTGTAAAAGATATGAAACATTAGCAACGGTGCGGGCATAACAAACAACTTTTACACGAGAGCAAATAGATTGTGACACGGACTTGGACGCTGTGCAGGTGTCGCCGCTATGACAACCCGCCCATGTGACAGATGCTTTGTTTACAAGGCTCAGCCACGGCGGTTTCAACTTTTCATTTGCACGGCGCACTGTACCGACGACGTGCCCCACCACTTTTTTTTTTTTTCCTACTGTGTAGCTTTAATTCAGGGGCATGAAATGTGGTCCACTGCAAAGGGGGTGTGCATTTGTGCGCTTCACTTCAAGCTCCTCTCTTCAAATGCGTTACCTTTGGATGAACCCTGAGTGAGCCGCCTCCGTCGGCTGAACCTGTGCTTAAAATCAAGAGGTGCTGACAGACGAGGCAGACGAAGCTTTTCAATAAGCCCGACGACTCGGCGTCGCTGTCATGCCGTTTTGCCAATTGTTCACGCTAGGAAACATTTTGAACAACTTTGGCAGAAGCGGCATTTAGCGTTAACTACGGTGGCCCTGAAGTGTAAAATACAACAACAAAATAGCAA